GGCTGCTGCTACCTGTCAGGCTAGCAGTTCTAAACCACCAGCCCCTCTGTGGGTGAAAGTCGAGATTTTCTGCTGCTGTAAAGAGTTACATTCTCAGAAACTCACAGGAGCTATACTACCCCGTCTTATAGGTCACTATAAGTCAGCATTAACTCAATGGTAGTAAGTTAGGTTTTTTGTTTAAGGAGTTACAGTCTTCGAAACATAGGGGTGTTTCTACCCTGGCCGATATTGTCGCTATGAGTCAGCATCGACTGGATGGCAGTGAGTGAGCATATCTAAAGGAGAAACCAAAATCAAACTCACTGCCATCCAGCGGATGCTAACTCATAGCAACCCTCTCGGGCATGGTAGAACCGCCTCTGAGTTACTTAGCCTATAATTCTATTCGCAAGCAAAAAGCCTGTCTTCCTTCTGTGGATCAGCTGGTGGTTTCAAATATACACAGTAAAACGATGTAGGATCATTATGAGTTGGTCTAGAATCAATGCTCTGAGATTCATTTTTGTATTTAAAGTGACAACAGTTAACAATCATCAACATGACTTCAAGATACAGTGTTTCTATAGCATTTTAAAAGGTAGATGCTTCCAATCCACTTTGTCATCAGTGCTCCAATACTGAAAAGTGCTATATAAATATTAACTATAAATATAAGAATGTATATTAGTTCTTAAAAACTAATATAGACTATGTGATCAGTATTAAATCTAAATTTACACTATACAAAAGTAAGTAAAAAAAGTATTGCTACACAGAGACTTTTCTTAAACAAAAACATCAAAACTGTGAAGCTATTATTTCTTGACAAATCCTTCATCTAGTATAAACTTCTGAAGGTGAGGTTTCATATTTCTCTAACCCTTTCCTGAAACATTTACACCAAGTCAAAACCGCAGTATTGACAAAGTCGAGGGACTCTAGAAAATCTCTCAAGATTACCCCTTTCTGAAACCTCCAGTTTCCATAACCTGCTGAGCTGACCTCTCTCCCTTGAGTTCATCTTTGACGTCTTCCCAGCTTTCCTCAAAATGCTCGATCCACCTAAAAACTGTTGGTTTTTCGTGGGGCAGCATTCTCATAAATTTATTGCAAAGCTTTAATGATTTGGGAAGATGACTACTTGGGTTTCACTACAAATTTGATCTTTAACCTACCTCAAAATCATTTTTTCCCAAGCTACAAAAATAAGTCTCATTCTTATTCATATTCATATGTGGAAACCATTAATTTCTGCATTTTTTAAAGAATAGGTATATACCTTAAATATTTTTGTCTTTGTGTATCAACAACTTTTCATATTTTATTTCTTATTGCACAGAAATTATTACTGTGCTTACATTTTATTCTTCACTCATGATTCCTGTCTCTGCACATTACTGAATTTGTTGTACTATATTCGCTATGTTCACAGACAAGATGTTACTAAATGACAATGGAACTTTTCCATGAACTTTTTAAAGCCTTCTTCTGAATCATGAAATTTAGATAGCCTTATGTCACACTTCTGAATCCTTGGTGGCATAATGTATTACTTATTGGATGAAACCACCAGCTGCTCAGAGGGAGAAAAATAAGGAAAAAAAAGGAAACCCACAGAGGAAGTTCTACCTTGTCCTGTGCAGTTGCTATGAGTCGGAATCAACTCCACGGTGGTGAGTGAGTGACATAACCCTTCAAAAAGACGTTCTTACCTCAGTTACATACTAAAAAAAAAATCTGGTAGAAATATTCCTGAGGTTTTAGTTGAAATTCTAAGTCTAACTGACCTTCTTTTTTTTCCTTTTCCTTACAAGAATTTATCCTTATAGAATCTTTCCTGCATATATAGAGCCAGGGCAAAGCATAAATGAAAGCTAAAGTGGGGTTTAAGAAAAAGATACAGTGAACATTATAAGAACGGACAGTGGTGGTGGTAGAGGGGTACTCTTCAAAAACTACCTCCTTGTTGATCCATACAAGAAATACAGAATGGACAGGGTGATAGTTAAGGTTTATTGTGCCAACCTGGCTGATAAACACATGTGGGATTAATTGAAGGGTGGAGAGATAAATGGCTCAGTGAGCCTCGCCTTTCTGGTTCTCGGGTCTCTTGTTCTGATGGTCAGACCAGTGTGCGGCTGCCTTAGACAGTTCTTTGCCTCAGCTGGCAAGGCTGACTTCCTGCGAGACATCCCTGAGGAGATGCCACATGGACTTACTCTGATGCAGCCCTGGGTGCTGGAGCAGCCCTGTGGAGACCCCTGCCAGCGCTGAGATGCTTACACATTCACTGACTCGGCTTTCTTCCTACATTCGGCGTTATTGTCTGTGCTTTGCGAGTTTGAGGAGGATTCTGTAGATCAGTCAGATATATGGGCTAATATCAGATTTATGGGCTTGGACTAGATTGGGATGCTTTCTTAATGTACACTTACCTTTTTATATAAAACTCTCTCTTATGTACCTGAGTTTCTGTGGATTTGTTTCTCTAGTCTACCCAGACTAACAGAGGCACTCTTTTTTTTTTTTTTGCTGTCCAAACAGAGGCACTCTTATGGAGACTGGGGCTGGACCGATGGTTCCTGGGAGGCATGGGAGGCGAGAAGGGGGGGGGGGGGGGGGGGGGGGGGAGGGGGGGGGGGGGGGGTTGAGCTGGAAGACAATAGTGATGGGTACAGGGGAATAAAGAGTTCTAAAATGAACCGCAAGGAGGGTGTAGCTTTTCTGGGTGTGTTCGATCAAACAAATTGTATCTGAGAGGACTTACTGAGAGGCGACCTACAGGCAATGGCAATAGAGGGGAAGGAGGGAAAAACAAGAGTTGAAACTCAATATATTTATGTGCATATTATATGAATATGTGTATGTTTGTTTATGGATGTATATATATGTAAATGCAACAAGGAAGCAGATGGACTTTGGGCCTCTACTTAAATCTTACTTCTGTACAAGGAGGGCTTGTTCTATCAATGTGGTACTGGATGATACCACCTCCCTCACACAATCGTTGAAGACAAAATGGGTACATAAGCAAATGTGAAGAAAGCTGATGGTGTCCAGCTATCAAAAGCTATAGTGTCTGGGGTCTTAACAGCTTGGAGTTAAACAATCAGCCTTCTAGCAGGGAAGTAACAAAGCCCACATGGAAGAACTACGCCAGGTTGTGAGATCATGAGGTGTCGGTGGGAAAAAGTATCAGGTCAAAAACCACACATCCAAATTGATATGAAGAGGAGTGGATGTAGTGCAGACCCAAAGTCCACCAGCAAGACAGGTGGACACTCCTTCTCAGAAGGGCCTCACGAAATGGAGTATAAATCCAGGGTGTGGTGATGAACCATATAACTATCCTGTAGTTTAGTGGTTCTCAACCTTCCTAATGCTGCGACCCTTTAATACAGCTCCTCACGTTGTGGTGACCCCCTCAACCATAAAATTATTTTTGTTGCTACTTCATAATTCTAGTTTTGCTACTGTTATGAATTGGGTGACCCCTGTGAAAGGGTCGTTTGACCCCCAGATTGAGAACCACTGCTCTAGTTCTTTAAGATTTCCTCACCTTCCTATTACAGTCCCTACGTGATATACCTCATTGGTCATGTTAGACGTGGTGTATGTTCATTTGTACATTGAAGATTGCTTGGTACGTGGTAGTCAAGATAGATGACCTCTCTGATACTTGAGGGTATGGTGAATGGAGTGGGGTGCAGGATGTGGGAGAGGGGAGTTGATAGCACTGAGGATTGACTAGCTCCATGAGATGGGACTGAACAGAACTGTATGGGAAGGGAAAGGATATATTGGAATGAGTAAGATATGCCAATAAAAATATTATTCGCAAAAAACCCCACCTACCTCCTTGAGTACTTTCTCAAATGTTGTTTTCCTTATATATGTTATCATGACTGCAACAACGGACTCAAACATCCCACACATTATGGGGGCTGTATAGATAGGACTGGGCTGTTGGAACTCCTGTCGACACATAATTGAAACAATTTCTATCACGCTGATGAGTAATGTTGTATTATAAATACGGGAGGTTGATTCTGAATATATCCTATGAGGCTTCCACATCTTTTCTTCTTCTTTTTTTTTTTTTCAACACATTTTTTTTTTACATCTTTTCATCTGTTTTGCACACAAGGCTTTGTTAGTGGACCAAAACCCCCAAAAGACTAGCACTGAGTCTGTTTTGACTCATAGTGAACCTGTGGGTTTCTGAGACTGTAACTCTTTCAGAGAGTAGCAAGCCTCATCTTTCTCCCATAGGGCAGCTAGTGTTTTCTAACTGTTGATCTTGTAGTTAGCAGCCACTACCCTACCAGGGCTCTCGACTTATTAACGGCATTAATTTTTTCCCCCTGCAGCTTCCAAGAGGCCCCAAAACAGCGGTAAAAAAGTCTCCTCCCTCCCATATCCCTTCACAGACTGGAAGTAAAACCGTAGTTTTAGTGTCAACACATGCTACCTAATTAAAGACTTCCTAACTTTACTTTCATTAACAGATATTGGGGTACTCAGTGCTTACTAAAAAACAACCAAAATCTAAACTAGCTGTCATCATTCTGTTCAACACATTGCTCCCTGTGAATGTCAAAGTATTACTGTGCTCCAAGGGGTTTTCCATGGCTGATTTTCTCCGGTAAATTGACAACCAGGTCGTCTGTCAGAGATGCCTCTGGGTGGACTGGACGCACCAACTTTTCGGCTAATAGCTGATTACTTGTTTTGCACCACAAAGGGAGCCTATGCTCATGAAGACAAGGTATTGGTTTTTGTTGTTTTCATCGTATTTCTTGGGGGGAAAACTTAATTGCCATGGGCCACTCCCTGCGCTCCACGTTTTCATTGTTAGGTTGTTCAAGGCTGGCGGCACGCCAAAGGCTAGCACACCGCAAATGCTCAAACCAGCCCGGAACTCGCCGCCCTCTGGCGGTCCCTGCCAGCTTCCGGGTGCGACAGTCCACGTGGCCTTCCCACGTCACATCCTGCCCTTGCGACTCAGGCTGGCGGAACCCGCGCCATGAAGTGCTTATTTGTTACAGTTGGGACCACCAGCTTTGATGAGCTCATTGCGTGTGTTTCGGCGCCAGACAGTCTGGAAGTGAGTGGGGAAGGTGGGCCGGACACGGCTTGGCGAGCTCAGCGCGCCAGCCGCTTGCTTGGCAAGCACTTCCGGGAGTCTGGGGACTCTTCGGTGGTCACGGTCCTGTGAGGCGAAGCTGCCGGCGAGCTGTCCCATCCCTTTACCGGCTCCGCCCCCGCGCTTGGCCCGCCCAGCCCGCGCAGCCTGTCGCCGCGTCCCGCTCCGCGGCTCGAAAGCCTCTCACCGCTCCTCCTGCCTCCGGCCCCTCCCCTCCGTTCCCCGGCTTCCCCCCTCCCATTCCTCGCCTCTCTTCCTCCTGCCTCGCCCCTTCCCTCCGCCACTCCGCACCTCCGGCCCCTCGGCTGGCGCTGGGTCACTCTGAGGTGGGCGCCGTAGCCTTGTCACCACAGCCGCTTTCGCCCCGCCCCCGCATGTGCCCTTCCCGCCAGAGCCCGCGCTTTGCGCGTGCCACCGAGGGCACGCCTGCGCCCGGGAGGGAGGTCTCCCCACACTCCCGCCGCAAACTTGGTTGCGCGCCCCTGCCCCCGCCCCCCTCCGGCCCTGGCGGGAGCCTCCCCGCCCTCCAGGCTTGAGCAGCGATCCGATTTCGGGGCGGGGGGACTTGTGGTTGGCACTTGGTAGGGCTCCCCAGGCGAGGGACGCATCCCCGGGGGTTCTTCCGCCCGGCCGGGGGCGGAAGTTTGGCAGCTCGTAAGGCAGTCTGCACACACCGACTGCCGAGTTGGCCTCAGTGGCGGCGGCGCGCTTTTCACTGTGGCCCCGACGGATTAAAAAGTCGCGTGTGTGTTTGTCCGTCTTTCCATCTGCCCTGCCCTCGCCCGCCCGCCCCCTCCCGCCCCTCTTGTAGATCTTCAGGAACCTCGGGTACGGCCGGCTGGTGCTGCAGGTCGGGCGAGGAAGCCTGGTGCCCGAGGCGCTCAGCACCGAGTCCTTGGCCCTGGAGGTGTACCGGTACAAGAAGTCCTTAGAAGACGACCTTCGGAGGGCGGATCTTGTCATCAGCCACGCAGGTAAAGAGGCTCCCGTCCGCGCCTGGGGCCCCCTCCACTCCGAGCCACTGGGAAACCGAACCTTCTTGCGGGAGTGGGGCGGGGGATGGAATCCTTGCGGTCGCTCCCCCGTCGCTAGTTGGAGTCTTTGGAATCGTTGGACTGTAACCCCTAGAGAGAATAATTTGAACTTCGCCATTGGGAACTTACTTGGGAGAGTATTTCCATTGCGGAGAGACAAGCTAAATCGGAATTGGCCATGCTGCTGCTGGTTGGGATTTTGGGTTTGGGTTTTTTTGTTGTTTTTTTTTCCTGAGACGGGAGGGGAAGGAGTGTTGTGGATCCCAGATTTACAGTAAGAAACCCTCAGTGCGGGGGGTGGGTGGGGGGGTGGGGGGTGTTTTATAATCCAGTCAGATGTAAGGAGGTCAGACGGGAGAGATTGCCTGTTGTGGCTTTTATCTGTTGGGATCCAGATGAAAAAACGTTCAGGGTATGGGTGTGTTGGTCTGAGCGGAAAAATGGGCTTGGGAAAGTTTTTAGTTTTTAAACACCTAGGCTAAAGCTGTGTGGGAAACGAATTCAGTCTGAAATAGCCTTTACCAAGCCACCTTACTTTATAGTTTAAATTCTCTAGTAATCAGACTGCAGTACCTTAAAGAAGGGCTTTCCAGCGATCTTTTGAGGTTTAGAGTCCCTTATAGGGTCTCTGAGAAAAAGCCTGGCCTTTCTACTCCGGTAAGCAGTTCAAACTCTCAGAAACTCATGGGGTAGTTCTGCCCTCTCCTGGACGGTCGCTATGAGTCGGAATCAAGTGGATGGCTGTGAGAGAGATTGGATTGAGAAATGATTGAGAAAGGAATCTCTCATTGTTCTTAAGAAAGTACCTTGAGAGAGGCGAAAGTCATTAGAGAGCAGCTACCAGAGCACTTTCTGTCAGACTTTTTAGCAGTTTTGTGTGGAGAGTCAGTGTTCTTAACTGCTCCCCCAGAAACTATCAAAAATGGATTTATACACTGGTTCATCAGTCTCCTGAAATAACCTAAAGGATTTTTCATTTCAAAGTGGAACTGGTTCTGATCATTGTCTTTGTTCATGTTCACAGATATCTATTCTTCATTCTGCTGAGAATATTAACAGATTGGGAGGAGAAAGACAAGGGGTTTCTACACTCCTCAAGAGTTACAGTCTGCTGTAGGGTTACTGTGAGGCTAGTGATCTACTCTTGGCAGTGAGGTGCTGTAATGGTGACTTCGCTGACTTGGTGGCGGTGTAGTGGGTTAAACATTGAGCTGCTGAAGGAAAGGTTTAAATCAGCAGGAGAAAGATAATGCAGTCTGCTTTGCAAAGATTTAGTGACTAACCAGGCATCCTCAAACTATGGCACAGGGGCCACATGCGGCCTGCTGAGGACGTTTATCCGGCCCACTAGGTGTTTTTGCCCCATTTGTTTTTTAAATTCAAAATATATGTGCAGTGTGCATAGGAATTTGTTCATAGTTTTTTTAAAATTCTAGTCCAGCCTTCCAACAGGTCTGCGGGACAGTGAACTGGCCCCATGTTTAAAAAGTTTGAGGACCCCTGCTTTAGTCTCTGGAAGTTAGGACAGACCTGGTGTGATGGCTGCACCTCCTTTGGTGAGAACCTGCCCTGTCCAATAGAGAGTCCTTCGCAACCCCCTTTGGCAGGGGGTTGTTACTTGACCAACTTATAAAAAGTAGTGGTAGTTTTGCTTTCTTGGTACAAGTGGTTACTGTTCTACAGGTGGCTGCTAACTTAACCGTTACTTTGAACGAACCCACTCGATGTGAGGTGTTTTTTTTTTTTTCTTTTGTGTCTGAAAGATTCCCACTGATGTGGGGTCTGACTCAGAGCAACCCTGTAGGATGTAGTAGAACAATTTTCCTAGAGTTTCCAAGTCTGCAAATCTTTATGGAAGCTGCTGTATTTTGGTTAGCAGCACAACGGTTAACCCACTGGACCCACCATAAAACATATGTGGTCACAATGAATCCAAATCTCTCTCACTACTGAGGCTCATCTCTTTGGCCTTTTCTTGGAATATATTGAACCTGAATTAAAAAAGCCCTGGTGGTGTAGTGGATTACCAGTTGAGCTACTAACTGCAAAGCCAGTGGTTCAAAACCACCAGCTGCTCCATCAGAAAAAGATGAATTGTTCTGCCCCTGTAAAGATTTACAGCCTTGGACCTAAAAGAGCCAGTTTGACTTAATGGCAGTAAATTTGGTGAGATTTGGTTTGAACCTTAACTTTAAATGGATTCAAGGCCCTGCTCAGAACTTTTGAGGAGAAGGATAATGGCTAAGCACTGAATCATGGGCCATAATAATGTCAGTAGTAATACAGGTACTTTCCTAGTCGGGCATATAGATCCTATTAGAGAGCACTTGATAATTGTATTTTGGTCATTCTGAACAGATAATAGAAACATTTGGTTAGTAGTTTTGCCAACTAATTTAAGTTCTCACCTCCGGCCATTGAGTCAGCAATGAATCAAAGTGACCCCTTGTGGGTTTTCCTAAGGTGTTTACAGGAGTTAAAAAGACCAGTCTTTCTCCCTCGGAGCTGCTGGTTGTTTTGAACTGCTGACTATGCATATCACAGCCCAATGCCTAATCACTACACCACCAGTGCTCCGCTTAAGTTGTAGCTACTAAGAATTGTGGTGCACTTTTAAGTATTTAAACATTTCCTTAATAAATTGTTATTTATTTTTGTAGGTGCAGGAAGCTGTTTGGAGACTCTGGAGAAAGGAAAGCCACTTATAGTTGTTATAAATGAAAAGTTGATGAACAATCATCAGCTGGAATTGGCAAAGCAGCTACACAAAGAGGGACATCTCTTCTACTGTACCTGCAGGTATACTACAGACTGATTATTTGTCTGCCTCATCTTCATTCTTTCCTAGCTATTATTTTATCCACTTACTTAACCTCTGTGTTTCTTCTGCTTCTCACCTTCTTCCACCTTTCAAACATAGTGATCTCTCTCACCTGTAAAACCCTCTACAGTATTTTCTACTTTGTAGTTTGTGTTTATACTTCTTTGTCTATCTGTAGTTATTTGTATGTGATTATCTGAATGTGTGTATGCACATGTATAAGTTCTGGGTGCATTTTTTTCTGGAATATGATTTTTCAGTTCATTAGATTTCCTTATTCAAGGAAACCATTTGTTTATTTTTAATGGTAATTTTTTTCCTTCAGCAAGGGTACTGGGATCCCTAAGTTAGACAGACTTATTCAACTGTGCCCAGTATGTACTAGGAGCTGTTATAGGTGCTTAGGATATGGTGGTAAACAAGATCAAAGCCTACTCTTATTTTAGTGAACAATTTTAAAAGTAAATGGTAAAGATGATTGCATATGGCAAAATGTGCTCTGAAGAAGATATAACCTGGGTGACATGGTGATTGGGATGAAAAAGATAGGATGACTGGTAAGTGATGTTTGAGCTGAGACCTAAATGACGAGGAAGAGCTAGTCATATGAAGTTCTAGCCACAAAAGGAACAGTTCTTACAAAGATCCTAAATTTTGTGTGTTCCAGCAGGGGTCGAGTGGGGGATGGCAGGTGCAGAGCTGGCCGGCTAGGCCTGGCAAGTTTGAAACAGTAGATGCATAATGAGCAAGGGAGCATTTAGTAAAAGACGAGGCTGGGTGGGGATAGCTTAAATAAGAGTTCTGATTTTATTCTATGTTCTGTGAGAAGCCATTGGAGCATTTTAAGCAGAGGAATTACTTTATGGTAAGGAGTATTATTTTTTGACGTGTATTAAAACTCAGCAAGAATTGATCAACATCACAGTAGAAGGATGAAGAACATGGTTGGCTTGTTTTTCTGTTAGTCCTTCCTTAAGACACCAGAAGCTTGCCAAAAGGGCCAGGTCAGTAATTCCTTATTGTTTGACATTAAAACCTGCCTTAACTTGATGATTTTTAAAAAGTTTATTATAAAAATATACTTTGTTATAGTGAATTGACATGAATTTTAAAGTAGAAAATAAACATTATAAGACATTGCCTATTATGTACTAAGCTGGTCTTTTAATTTTACTGCTTCTATTTTCAGGCACTCAGTAAATTATTTATTAGATAAGTTAATATATGTTGAGAACTTTCTATGTGCCAGGCACTATTCTAGGTACTTGGTCTGCATTAGTGGACAAAATAAACAAAGGCCCCTATTCTCATCCAGGTGAAATTGATTTATTGACCTTTTAAAGGAATAATTGTGGGTTCTCATGCTTGTAGTGATGAATGAGAAGGAATGCCAGCATGGTTTTGTAATACAGAGACCAGTCTTGAAGAATTCATGTCAAGGGAGAAGCTAGTTAAAATTATTTCGGCTTCCATTAGTGGGCATTTCAGCCATTTGGTTAGTTGCGTGGTTCAGGATTTTTTAACACAGAATAAACATCCTCATAACTAATTCATGCAAATCATTTTTCTAGGGACTTTTAATGTGTGTTTTCATTCCAATTGATAAACCAGCTTTGATTTTACATGAAAATCTTCAAAAAGGAGAAACAATGATTTCATAAATGTGTTCTGATATTTTCCCCAGGCTGAAAAAGAATATACAGATCTTTAGTTGATTCATTTCTTTGTAGTCTAAAAGTCTTATATTAATTTTAAGAAAGACATGTACATTAAAGAATTAATTTTATTGTCATTTTAGGTAAATAATTTATTGTCCCCAAATCTAGACTAGGTGGTTGCACATCTGAGTTAATGTAAGTGACTGGTTTAATTAGACATCAGAACTGATACATTTTGGTAGTGATTATATATTGCTTAATTATATATGAATTTATGATAATAAATTTCAGAAAAGGTTTTTTTCACAGTCTTCATATGTGACTAGTAGTCTCCCTTGCTATTTTTCTTATATGGTAACTACTACATTTGATTTAATTTATTCCTATTTCACAAACTAATTTTGCTCAAATTTTTCCAACCCAAAATAGTAGTACAAAATTATATGAGCAAGTTATTCATGAAGCAAAATTTCTGAAATGTTTCAATTGCTATAACAGATAAAGGATTTTAAAAATTAATAAAAGAATTATGTATTATTTGAGTACTCTTTTCTAAGTGTGTAAACTTATATTATTAAAATACATTTAAAAATTCACTTGTACACTTTGGAAAGCAACACTATTTCTTGGACAGTAGATTCAGTCATAAAGTCGTCAGCAGATGAATTACAGAATTTTCTCCCATGTTACCTAATATTTTTCTTCTTTTGTTTTAGCACGCTTCCTGGGCTGTTACAGTCAATGGACTTATCAACACTGAAATGTTTTCCTCCTGGCCAGCCCGAAAAATTTTCTGCATTTTTGGATAAAGTTGTTGGATTACAAAAATAAACACTAAATGCACAGCACTTAAAAATACACCCAAATGCAAACTATGGAACGTGATTAAATCAAATGTAATATAGAATATATGTTTTCAGAATAATATAATCAACTAACTACACCCGTAGAATGCATAGAAAATTTTATGATGTGAATATTTGCATTTGGGTTTAAATTCGATTGGCAATTTAGTAAACTTGCCAGATGTTCCCTAATTTCAATATTTCATATAAAGCAGGCATGTAGTATACATTCACATATCTTTTCCCAGAATCCCTAGTACATTTAGAATTATGAAAAAAAAGGAATGAAATTTGAAAACTTCATAAGATTAAGTACTTGGCAGGAACTATAAATGTACTCAGTCTGATTTTATACTAGAATTTAAAAAATGAAGCATTATCAAACTAAAAAAAAAACAACTTTATTATGTGAGTTGGTATCATAATCCAAGGTATTGAATACCAAAGAAAAGCAAGGAGTGATAAGATGCTCTAATAAATATGAAGGGACTTCAAAAAGTTCATAGAAAAATGGAATAAAAAGATTTGGGGGATTTTTCTCAGCTTTTTAAACCCCCTGGTTGTAGGCTTAATAATTCCCCAGAGAAAACGATTATGGAGGCAATTTTTAATTGTACTTGGAGAAACTACTTTTATATTGAAGAGTAGAGTGGGGTGGGTATATTCATTTTTGTCCCCACTGAAATGTAAATGGTAGCATAATGTTGCCCAATTTCAAAGCTCTTCTGATTTGAAAAGAAAAAATAAAAGGACTTCTACCAGTAGGCTTTGCTGTTATTTTTAAAGGACCCAGCCACCACCATCACACTTATAGTGAAACATAGTATCAAAGGGAAATTTATAATTTATGTCTTCCAGAAATTATCTGCTTAGATTACACTTTACATTGGAGGGTGGTTCAAAACTTCGTGGAAAAATAGAATTAAAGGAAAGTGGAATTTTTCCATGGAGTTTTTGAAGCCCCCTCACATGTCGTTTTAAAACTAATGGACAACTTAAGGTAGATGCATTATCAAATTCTTTGTAATAAATGGTCTTGAGACCTTTAAAATATGTGAGATTGACTTTAAATGTCTACAATACTCAGATGGAAAGTTTAGTTTGTCTATAGAACACCCAAGTAAAATGGGTTGCATTATCTAATGTTTATACATTTATTTTTCTGATTGTGTTCCACTTAGACTAATATTAAAATACGTTATTAATAATGGTGGTAGGTGGTGGCTCAGAAGTGCTCTGGGTAGCAAGAGGAAGCCAACTTGAATTAAAATTTTGCTGAAAATAATTCAAAAAGTGAGTAATGAGTTGAGAATTCAGTGCCATAAGTGCTTATTAACCTAGATTTCAAGTGATCATAGATGCCAATTGTGTATGTAGAAAAATCTCTGACTACAAATTTGTGAAATTTTCTATATCATGGGGCTCTAAATCAAAGGATACTTTACAGCCATTTTGAGGTGACGCAGTATTTTCAAGATTACATATAACCTATTATTTTTTGTGTGTTTTTTAAGATAGGAAAGAGGCCAGAAATTAGGATCTTGTTATAAAGTTTTTGGCAGAGTTGTCACTTAGAAACATCTCCTTTACTCCTATTTTGTTCTCTTTTTTTCTTTTTAAAAATCATGCCATGGTCTACATTAGCTTTTGGGTTCTCTATAATTGTTTGCCTAGTAGAAGGGATTATTTTTATTTCCAAGGATGGTTTTGTTTCTTGGTCTCGGAAGTTGTTTAATTAACTTTGTTTAATATTCTTCCTTTGGTGCACCACGATCCATTCTCTACCTTACCTGGGACATACAGTCAAACCAACAAACATGTGATACCTCACTTTGGAATGTAGCGAAATGTTAAGGTTAAGATTGATAGATTAGATGCATTAAATGATCGTATAAGTCGAATTTTAGAGTTACAGAATTTAAAGAGTAGCTCGAACCATTCATTTTTTTAAATCATCTGATTGGAGGCTTTTACAGCTCTTATAACGCTCCATACATCCATTGTGTGAAGCACATTTGTACATGTTGTCATCATACTTTTCAAAACATTTTCTTTCTACTCGAGCCCCTTGGTATCAGCTCCTCCTATTTCCCCTTCCTTTCACCCTTGAATGCTTGACAAATTATAAATGATTTTTATTTTCATATTTTACACCGTATGCTATCTCCTTTCACCCGTGTTTCTGATGTTCATGGGTGGTGGGGGTAGGCACAGATTATACATCGATTATTGTCATTGCTTTCCCCTACCTTCATGATATTGCTACTCCCATCATTGTTCCTGGGGGGTTTGTCTGTCCTGGATTCCCTGTGTCGAGAGCTCTTATCTGCAATGTACATGCTCTGGTCTAGCCAGATTTGTAAGGTAGTACTGTGATGTGGGGTGGGGGGGAGCATTAAAGAACTAGGAGAATGTTGTGTTTAATTGGTACTATACTGCACCCTGGCTGACTCGTCCCTGCCTGTGACTCTTCTGTGAGCTGATATCCAATTGTGTACAGATGGGCTTTGGGTCTCCATTCTGAACGCATCGATATTATTTTGGATCTTCTGATACCTGATCCCATCAACACTTCGTGATCACACAGTCTTGTGCTTCTTCCATGTGGACTTTGTTACCTAGCTAGATGGCCACTTGTTTATCTTCAAGCCTTTCAGACCCCAGATACTTTATCTTTGAATAAATAGCCAGGCACCATCAGCTTTCTTCACATTTGTCTTCAGCAACTGTCAGGAAGGTGAGCATCATAGAATGCTGGATTATTAGAACAAAGTGTTCTTGCGTTGAAGATTATTTGAGTTGATGGCCAATGTCCATCTGCTACCTTGATACTTAACATATAAATATATATACATAGATCTATGCCCCTATCATTATGTAAAAATATATTTACATATATATGGGCCTGGATTTATACCTCTATAAATGTCCATTGCCTCTTAGTTCTTTCCTCTAATTCCTTTTTACTCTCCTTTTGTCCCATTATCATGTTCAAACTTCATTCAGCTTTCAGTAATTCCTCTTGGCTACATTCCACTTGATCAAACCCCACTAGGGATTCCACACCCTTTTTGGCATCAATTTTAGATCACTTATTGTTCTTTTGTCCCTGGCTTTGTTGGCTCTTCCCTTTCCCCCACCTTCCCCTCTCCCATGTCCCTCTGGAACAGTAGGTCCCATTATTTTCTCCTTGGGAGTTTATCCTGCCTATCTTATCTAGATAGACATGGGGAAAAATGCCTATAAATTGTTCCAGGTCTGTGTTGACTTTTATAAATGATTTCTGATAGAGTCTGATGAAGCCAAGTCCTGTTCCCGAAGTCTATTTTGGGGATTCCTGGGGGACTTCATTGCTTGCTGCCCTTGCTGCTCCGTTGCACTCCCTTTATGTTTCACACTGGTGTGTGTGTGTGGGGGGTGTCAGACCAGGCACAATTCCCATACTGTCTCCTTTGTTGTACCTTGTGTTATGGGTCAGTGGTTGGATGCCATGTCTCATGGTGGGCCGGCCTTACCATCCTCTCTGTGCTGCTCCTTGGGACTGGGTGAGCCAGGATGTGGTGGTCTCTTTCTGTCGCCTCTCTTCTCTATCCTCCTCTCTCTCAAACCCCCCCCCCCAGCTTCCTTCCCTCCTAGTTTTCTCCCTTGTGCTCTGATCCGACCCACCCATCTCCCGAGTTGTATCTTCAATGCTCTGTACTGCATTCTTCTAGGGAGGGGGTTCACATAGCTTGGATTGGGGCCTGCCCCACAGACTTTTATGTTGGTCCCCTGCTTCATTCCAGTATTTTGCCTTCAAGCTTTGGCACACCAGGTAGAGGTCTGGCCCCTCTCTCTCTTTCCTATGGAGACAAATTCCCTGTGGATGGGTTAGTGCCCATTTCCCCCAACTTTTCCCTTTTTTAGTTGGCACCCATATGTATTCCTGGGTTAGTTCTGACCCTTAGAAGAGTGCATGGACCTCGCCCTGGGAATTTATGTATTTAGTAGCTTTTCCCCTATGCCCCTTGTGCTTTTTAAGCTTACCTCAGTGGACTCATTATTGTACTTGTCCTTTTGTGCTTGGCTTATTTCGCATAATTTCCTCCAACTCTTCCCCTTGCAATGATGTGCTTCATGCATTCATCACTGCTTTTTAGGGATGCTTAGTACTCCATTGTATGTACCAGAGTTTTCTAATTCATTCATCCGTTGATGAAAATTTAGGTTGTTTCCAACTTTTGTGATTGTGAACTGTGCTGTGATGACCTTGGAGCGCAGATGTCTGGCCATCGTCTGTTTCTTGCCCTTTCTGGGTATATGCCCAGTAGGGGGATTGCTGGGTCATATGGTAACTCAATTTCCATTTGTTTTAGGTATTTCTAAATCCATTTCCATAATGGCTGCACATTCCTACAGGACCACCAGCAGTGCATGAGGATTCCTATCTCACCACAGCCCCTCCAACACTTGTTGCTTTCTGATTTTTTAAATTGGCTAACTATGAGGAGCCATTCATTTTATATATGACAATGAAGGCTAAGTTATATTAATTGCCAAGTCCATATCTTATTTAGTTCTTACAAAAACGATAATCAAATTTCTATGTAAAATATTTGATTAATTTAAATTAGTTTGCCTTCAATACATGACTGATAACAGTTTCAGATTCTAAACATCTATCAGGGTAAGGAAACAAAAGAAAAGGTTTAGGGAGATGAGCATTCTAGATGACAACATTGCTTATAGTTTAACAGTAAGAAAATTAGAGCTGGAATGATTTGGTGGTAAATAGTACACCCAATGATCTTGATGGGGGGCTTAGGAACATTGAAAAATAGTCATGTCTACAAGTAGTATCAGCTATGATTTGTAAAAACTTTTAGAGCACTAATTTTTATGTTTTTTAAGGTAAAATCTTAGAAGACAATAAAAACGTTTTGTACCACTTCCTTGATTATTAGGAAAAGTTTTACAAAACTGAGAATAAATGCTAAGTGAC